TTTTTTTTTTTTGAGCCAGAGCCTCAAGCTATTGCCCTGGGCAGAGTGCTGTGGCATCACAGCTCACAGCAACCTCCAACTCTTGGGCTCAAACGATTCTCTTGCCTCAGCCTTCCAAGTAGATGGGACTACAAGTGCCCACCACAACTCTTGGCTATTTTTTGGTTGTATTTGTTATTGTTGTTTGGCAGGCCTGGGCTGGATTTGAACACGTCAGCTCCAGTGTATGTGGCTGGAGCCTTAGCCGCTTGAGCTACAGGTGCTGAGACTGTCTAGTTAATTTTTTTTTTTTTAATTTTGCAGTTTCTGGCTGGGGAGGGGCCGGGTTTGAACCCACCACCTCCGATATATGGGGCTGGCGCCCTACTCCTTTGAGCCACAGTCACCACCTGTGTCTAGTTAATTTTAAAAACTAGGTAGAAATCCTTGGACTCTTTCCCTTCTTACTTCTTATCATATGTTAACGAAGTTGAGTAGGAACCATTAGCAAGATGATTTGTCTTTATTCAAGTCATTTACATTTTCCTATCATACTGTAAGACCAAAAATATGTCTTTTGTTTATGCTACTTTTCTGTAGAGAACCCTGTTGTGATACTATAAGATAAAGCTGATTGTGTGCTTTGGGGCTGGCTGCAGCCATCACCCCGGTCAGAACTCTCATTCCCATCTTTTTTTTTGGCTGGGGCCGGGTTTGAACCCACCACCTCCGGTATATGGGCTGGTGCCCTAGTCCTTTGGGCCACAGGCGCCGCCCCCCATTCCCATCTTTTGTCTCTGTGTCTTCTCTTGTGCTGTACTTTTCTCAATCCCTGCCAATTTCACTCTGGTTCGTCCCCCTTCCCCGCACTGGATTGCAACAGGTGGCGCCCCAGAGAGGGACCAGAGTATGGAAGAGTAGATGCACTCAGGTGAGGGAATCCCCCGCCAGAACGAAGAAGTGAAACTTCGCAATTGGCAAGTAATTTTTTGGAGGTTTGGGGGTAATCATAGTCAGGAGTAATAAATTATGGGACAATCCCAGTCGGCTCTGAGGAGTGAGAACTCTTCACTCAAATACTTAAATCTATGTTAAAAACCAGTGGCTGGCTTGGCGCCTGTGGCTCAAGTGGCTAAGGCGCCAGCCACATACACCTAAGGTGGTGGGTTTGAATCCCCAGCCCGGGCCGCCAAACAACAATGACGGCTGCAACCAAAAAAATGGCCAGGCGTTGTGGTGGGCGCCTGTAGTCCCAGCTACTTGGGAGGCTGAGGCAGGAGACTCGCTTGAGCCCAGGAGTTGGAGGTTGCTGTGAGTGTGATGCCATGGCACTCTACCCAGGGGGACAGCTTGAACCTCCATCTCAAAAAATAAATAAATAAATAAAAATAAAAATAAAAACCAGTGGCTGTCATATTCATATTAATCAGTTAGAGCCCCCTCTCCAATCTGTACTGGGTCTATCCCCTTCTGCTCCGGCAGAAGAACCCCTTCCCCCTGAATTCCCTCCTGGGCTGGTAGCTATGGCTGGAATTCAGATTCCTGATCTACCTAAACCTGTTTTGTCTTGCCTCTCTTCATGGCCCCCTTCATCAAAGTTCAAAGAATTTGCCCCTGTGGCATCTGCAGTTTGTGGCTAGGAAGCCTAAACTGTTCTTCATGCCTTTAAACACTTTTGGAAAATTACAAACTAAAATACTCATTTCCCATTAAAGATACAAATTAACTTACTCTGTTAGACCTCACCGAGGGTCGCACCCCAAAGACCACTCACTGGACACAAGTCAATGCAAAAAGCAAGAGGTAGGTTTATTGCTGACGCGTCAGGGTCCCTCAGCCACAAGGGGGAAGGACCCCGGGAGGCTGTTACAGGCTGCTTTTTAAAGCTGAAAACCACACGCAGGTGGGGTGAGGGGTACTGGGGTATGTGGAGGCTGTTGATTGGAAGGTTTAAAACTCGCTTTACTCTGGGCAGGCGGCTTTGCCCTGGCTGAGGAATGGGGAAGTGGCTTCACAAGGGCGGGGTAGGTGGGGTAGGGAGTGTCGCCCGGGGGGTTATTTTTCTTGAAACTGCTAGTGCTAAGAGGAAATGGTGACCTGCTCTGGGGGTCCGTCAGGTTTCAGAGGGTCCCTCAACTCCACTATTCACTCTCAAAGGATTCAATTCTCCAACTCAAATAAGTTTAAATAGTTTAAAAGGTGACCATGAGGGGATCCCTAGATTGCTCCATAAGTGCTAAGTGCTGTGGGGAACGGGGCATGGATGGGCAGGGCTGGGGGTACAGTGCTCTAACACTCCTAGCAGCACTGCCAGGAGATTTCTCCTGGGAGTCTTGGGTTCTGCTCTCACACACCATTGTCCTCAATCACTGTGGTCCACCTACTTTATTTTGTTTGTGCACTGAAAACTTTAACTCTCAATAGTTCTAATTTTGTTCCGGACAAATTTAGTGTTTCTATATCAGTTGTGTATTATGAAGCTCAGGCCTCAATCCTGAATAACAATCTGTGGGGACATATTCTGTCTGATTGGTCTCAATATGGGTACCCACCTATAAATAAAAAACAATAACAGTTTTATTGTAACATGGCCAGGTCAATGTATCTATCATCTTGACTCTGGAGAAAAATGGCCTTTGAATAGATTCTTCAAGAATTATAATGACATTACATTTTAAAAAACTAACAAGTCTAGTAAAACTAC